TCTATGAGTCTGCTGAGTATCTCACTTCCCATGTTGGATCACTCTCCCCTTTATTTACTCCATCAGTTAGCATTAGCAGGTACTAGACTTGTCTATGTGCTCCCTTTGACTCCCAGTCCCTTCACCATGACCAACTGTGAACTGAAACTGATCACCTGGAACAGTGAGATGGCATTGGTACATGCCACCTCGATGGGATTGAATTGGAATCCCCTGGTATGCTTCCAACTCCACCACTTGGGGCAAGTCAGCCCGAGCATGTCCCAAATTATACATCTCTTCCCTCTCCCATTCCCACCACCATGTTCAACAGGGATCACATTTCAGTTAATTTTCAACACTTAAGAATAACTGTGCATCAATTACAGATCTAAACCAGTCATATTAAGTAGAACAGATAAAAAAACTACTAAGAGGGATAATGTATTAAGTTGTTCATTAACAGTCAGGGCTATGCTGATCAAGCCACCATTTCCCATAGTGTCCACCTCACTCCAACAGGTTTCCCTCTTGGTGTTCAGTCAGTCGTCACCGATCAGGGAGAACATATGGTATTTGTCCCTTTGGGACTGGCTTATTTCACTCAGCATGATGTGTTCCAGATTCCTCCATTTTGTTGCAAATGACTGGATTTCGTTGTTTCTTACTGCGGTATAGTATTCTAAAGAGTACATATCCCATAATTTCTTTATCCAGTCTATCGTTGATGGGCATTTAGGTTGGTTCCAGGTCTTAGCTATTGTGAATTGAGCTGCAATAAACATTAGGGTGCAGACCTCTTTTTTGTTTGCCAATTTAAATTCCTTTGGGTAAATTCCAAGGAGTGGGATGGCTGGGTCGAACGGTAGGGTTATCTTCAGGTTTCTGAGGAATCTCCAGACTGACTTCCATAGTGGCTTGACCAGTTTGCATTCCCACCAACAGTGGGCATCAGAAACTCTAAAAGCTAGGAGGGAATGGCGAGATATAGCCCAGGTACTAAGAGAGAACAACTGCCAGCCCAGAATGTTGTTTATACTGATAATCTTGCTGGCATGCTCAGACACAATTGTGATATATAAGCAAAGTCATTGAAAAAATCAGTCTTTGAAGAAAAAACTGTAGGGATTATTATTATTGTTCATATTACCTAGAATACAGAATGTTATCTCTGAAATAATAGTTGTCAAAGTATGGAATATAAAGATAACACAGGTATTTATATGGATCATAAGACTGGATGCCTATGAATATTAAATGATGTTTATTTAAAATTGGTTATTTCTTTTTGCTGGAAAAGTTAGCACTTCCACCCAAGTTTACTCATTCATCAACCTTTTACAACAGTCTGGCACTCAACAAATAACCTCACACATAAGGAAAATCATGGTCTAAGTTTGGCCAAAAAAATGTTTTTGAAGTCCCCAGTCTTCACAATTTATATGTCCAAGACTTAAGGATATTTTCCCCTCCTTGGTGTGCCTTAGTAATCATTGCTGGGAAAAGAAAATTGAAAAGCATACAGAAATAAGTAACATGTAAATATAAATGTATTATGAATTAAAACATAAATTAGAATCTGTATATTTAGGTCAAAAGTATATTTTCAAGTCCTACATTGAATTTTAATTATATTTCAAGTTCTATTAAGTAGTTTCATAGTATTTCCTAAATTATAATATATTTGGAATAAATATATATTTTCCACTACAATAAAAAACAAGAAAATGGACAAATTTAGGTGATGAAGCAAGCATTTCCGAATGTACTAATGTAAATCATTCTCCTCCCCCCCGCCCTGAAATCTCTAATATTTTTCTACAAAGGTGAGTATAGTAAAAAAATGCTTTATTTCATAATGCTAGTTCAAATAATCAGGAAATCTTTTCTTGATTAAAACCCAGCACATGCCTCTCAAAGGAGCAAACACTCCACTAAGCTATAGAGGTATGTTTCAAAGATAAAACCCTCAGAGGATAAAACAAACAAGTTTCCACAGATGCTAAAAAATAAATGTAGAAATGTAATAAGCATGAACAAGAAGACAATATGACTCAACAAAAGGAACATAACAATACTTGAAAAGATTGATGAAATGCCTGAAAGGAATTCAAAAGAGTGATCATAAGATTACTCAAAAACATAGAGAAGCAAATATATAAGGTTCAGAAATATGTACATGTATGAGAAATTCTACTGGGAGATAGATATTTTAAAGAGAAATCAAATTGAAATATTAGAAATGAAGAATTCAATATGTCAAATTAAAACAATACAGTGGAAAACCTGAACAGATTTGTTGAGGCAGAAGAAAGAGTATCCGAGCTAAAAGACAAGTCTTAGGAACTCTCTCGGACAAAAAAAAAAAAAAAAAAAAAAAAAAAAAGAAGAAGAAGAAGAGGAAGAGGAAGAAGAAAAGTAGAAAAACTGAAAACAGTGTTCAAGGTTTATTGCATACTATCAGATGACCAAATATATGTATTTTAGGAGTCCCAGGAGGTGTGGTAAAAGAGAATGGGTTAGAAGAACTATTCAGTGAAATATTAGCAGAAAAGTTACCTAATTTGGAGAAAGATAGGGACATCCAACAACAGGAAACACATAGAACTCTAATAATAGACATGGACAAGAAAGATCTTCACCATGACACATTGTAATCAAACTTTCAAAAGTAAAATAAGGTTTTAAAATGTGCATGAGAGAAATGTCAGATTACCTTTAACGGATCTCCAGTTAGGGTGGTAACTGATTTCTCATCAGAAACCCTACAATCAAGGAGAAAATGGAGAAACATAGTCCAAGTCCTAACAGAAAATTATTGTTAACCCAGAAAACTGTATCCTGCAAAGCTCTCATTTATAAATGAAAGTAAAAATAATGACCTTCCAAAAAAAAAAAACAAAAATTGAAAGACTTTGTCACTGCCTCTCTAGCCAATAAAATAGTACTTAAGGATGTGCTATACACAGAAACAGAAAGATAGTCATCTTTACAAAAGAATATGAAGACAGAAAAACTTCTAGTAAAGTTACAAAGGAAGTCCAAAGAAACAATAGAAGTATTCATGGAAAAATTGGAGCCAATACTTTTCAATATTAACCTTGAATGTAAATGGCCTAAATTCTCCAATAAAAATATATGGACTGGCTGAATAATTAAAAACAAGGTTCATCTGTATGTTGTCTTCAAGAAACAAACCTCACTGACAAAACTACACACAGACTGAGAGTAAAAGGATGGAAAAAGAAATTCTATGCTAGCAGAAAGCAAAAACAAGCAGGAGCAGCCATAAATGTATATGTACCCAGTGGGGCACCTGGCTATTTAAAACAAATGTTAATGGATCTAAAGGGAGACATAGGCTCCAATACAGTAATAATGGGGGAATTCAACACACAACTTCCATCAGTGAACAACTAGGTAAAAAAAATCAGCTAAGAAACAATAGAGTTAATCTATACTACACACCTAATAGACCTAATTGATATCTGCAGAACATTTTAATCCCACTATTGCATAATAAACATTCCTTTTAACAGTGATGGTACTTTCTCTAAGATAAAACTGTATGCTAGGCCATAAAGCAAGTCTCAAGAATTTTTTTAAAAAATTGGAATCACACTATGTATCTCTTCTGAACAAAATGGAATGAGTAAAGCTGGAAGTTAACAACATAAGCAACTCCACAAAATGTGCAAATACATGGAGAATGAACAACACATTCCTGAATGAACAGTGAGTCATAGAAGAAATCAAAAGGCAAATCAAAAATTCCTAGAGCGGAATGAAGATGACAACACAACATATCAAAACTTATTGGGGGCTGGCACCGCGACTCACTAAGCTAATCCTCCACCTTGCGGCACTGGCACACCGGGTTCTAGTCCCAGTCGGGTTGCCAGATTCTGTGTCAGTTTCCCCTCTTCCAGGCCAGCTCTCTGCTGTGGCCAGGGAGTGCAGTGGAGGATGGCCCAAGTGCTTGGGCCCTGCACCCCATGGGAGACCAGG